CAGTGCTTTAAAATGATTGTTTACTAAATAAAAGCAACAACAATCTGTACTCTCAGCACGCTGCCATCTTAGATTAACTGAGCAGGGAGTGAGGTGGTGGGGGCTCCAAGCCTATATTTGCCTTGGTCCCCAAATGCCTTGATACGGCCCTGGATGTGGGACTGACTTCTGGGGTGATCTGATTCTATCACATGTATAAATATTAAATGCTTATATGTTATTGTTTTTCACTGGTAAACATGTGTTTTGGGGATAAATCTACCTACTTTTTTCTTTTCAAGCACTTTGTTTTGTTTTCTTGATTTTATAGGAATAATTTCCGGCCGTTTCTCTCTCTAACCTTCCTGCATGCTGCATGTTTTCTCCGTCTTCCAGAAAAACTGTTTCCTAGATTTCCTACTTTCTAACTAAACAGCCAAAGAGATCTACCGAACGCAAAAGAAGCTTAATATGCGCTGCGCTCCAGCAGCAATGAGTTGAAACCACCGGGGCACAGATTATGAGCTCAGCTGAAAAGTACATGAAGTACCAGAGAATATGGGCTGATATAAACGATCACAAACAAATTACTTTGTTTTGGTGGAGCGATTTTGTGAATATAACAGCGGCCTCAGCTGGAGGATTTGAGCCATTACCGCTGCGTCCTCTCTGCTCATAGAAGGCCCGCAAAGCTGAGTCCATAAAAGACGTCATATATGTGGATACTGGATCTTTTTTCAGGTTTCCCGCAGTTTGAATTTTTAGGAAACCCACATCTTGATTCTGGGTTTTAAAATGCATCGTAATCACCGCGTTACTGACAACCGTACCGAGTAAATATTACCATTTTCTTTCCCTGTAATGCCTTACATTACCACATTACAGCGAAAAGCAATGCATTACAGTAATTAATTACTTTTGTACCACATTACTCCCAACACTGTCCACAATGCTGCTGCTAGAGTCTTAACAAGAACCAACAGAACCAAACACATCACTCCTGTTCCTAAATCTCTACTGGTTACCAGTAAAATACAGAATTCATTTCAAAACGCTTCTACTAGTTTATAAATCACTCAGTGGCATGAAGCCAGAATACATGTTGGATCTCCTTCAGGTGTCTACGCCCAGCAGGGCTGGTAGAACCCCGGGTCAGAACCAAACAGGGTGGATCTGCTTTTAGCTACTATGCAGCACACACATGGAATCATCTTCCTCATGACTCCACACAATCACTGCCACTGGTCCCTCTGACCAGAGGCAGTGTGTGCCGGCAGGCCAAACACGCAAATACTCGTGGCCCAAGGACCACAAGGGGGCCCCAGAGAGCCGGCAAACTTTAACCAAGTCAGAGCCGCAACAAAAGCGAGACATCTCACACTCACTGACAGGGCCCTCATACCCTGTAAAGGCCGGGGAGCGGCCACACATCCTCGTCTGACACACACACACACACTCACACTCACACACACACACACACACACACACACACACACACACACACACACACACACACACGCTCCAGCATGTGGGGAAGGTGAAGTGTGATTTTAACATGAACTACTTCATTCATGTACATTTGTATGTTTTAAGTTATCACTAACGTTTAACGGTGACAGCACTGCGGTCGTTCTGACTTTACTGGCTTTTGTTGCACGTGTGCAGCTCCACAGCAGGGAGTCGTTTAGAAACGTGTGACACGTACGTCTGACTGTTGGTTTATATCAACACGCCCACCTTCGTCTGCCCCGATTGTTGCTGAACCATCAATGCTGCATTCAAGAACACTCGGACATATCTGGTTAGTCACCTGAAGCTGAGCACAGCTCTGGTAATGTAGTAGACTTTCCTCTGACGTACCGGGTTGGTGGTGTATTCGCAGCTCAGCAGAATGACTCGATAATCTCTACAGGCAACTGTGATATTTTAATCTCACAGTCACCTGCAGAGATGACCCAGTCACTCTGGTGTTACCGTTCCCTTACAGATTCATTTAAAATGTGTGTGTGATGGCTGCACACACACACACACACACACACACACAACAGGTGATGGCTGTGATTCAGGGAAATCTCAGCTGGCGACTGTGAGCGTTGAGCCTCACGGCGTCGGCTGGGGTTCGTCTGAACGCAGCAGCTCAGCTTCACTCCAGCTAACCCTAAACCTAACCCTTCCATCACACACTCTGTCTTTTTATGTTTCTCATCTGAATGATTTAAAATCAGTGCAACAAATGTAAGAATAAAAAACCTTTTCTTTTCATTTAGGCTGCTTCTAACAGAAAACTGACAGAGTTTCGGAGCTGTTGCATGTAATGATTGATTTTAGACTGTAGCTCGGTTTGAAACCGGGTTTGGGCTGGTGAGCAGTGCAAGAAAGACGGTGAGAAGCTTTACGGCCTCTGATGTTGAAGATACTGCATTAGGAACTGATGGATAGCGCTGAGATGCCATCGTTTCCTGATGCATTGCGTTCAGCACTGAGAGATGCTCCACCGGAGGAGGTCAGCCATGTTCTTTTGCACGATGGTGCAACAGCTTACCCTCTCCAGCATTTTAGTCATGTGTCAGTTATAAATGATTATTTATTCATTAGAAAAATCTGGATTTCTGTTAAAGTTAATTTGATGTGTGTGGTTTTTGTTGGTTGTTGTTATTATTATTATTTTTACAGAAAAAGCCTCAATAAGTGACAAAATACCATAAAAGGTTTTTGTTTCTCTATGGCTTGTTTGTCTGAGTTGCATTTATCCTCCCTGTTTTATTTATAAATTGTAGACTTTTAGCTCCAGTTTTTTGTTATTGCTTGTTCGGTTTGTGTCCTTAGCTTTATTATTATCTTTAGCATTATCCTCCTGTTGGCTTTGTTTTCTGGCTTCCTTCCCCAGAGGTAACTAGTTACACCTGTCTACAATTATTAATCATCGGTACTCATCACACCTGTTGCTCCTCTCCACTCACATCCTCAGTGTATTCAAATCCAGCCCTGTTCAGTGTTTCTTGTCGGTTCCTTGTGTTGGTGTTTTTGCCCAATCCTCATGTTTTGTTGCTCCTGCTCCACACACCGTTTATAATAAACATTTAAACTATAACCTACCTGGCTGCCTCCTGGATTTCTGCACTTGGGTCCTACAACAACCTCCTACCCATGACACCACTACGTGCTTCACAATCTCAGCTGACAAGTCAAACTTTTTACAGGATCATCAATAAAATAATGAAGGTCGAACTGTATGTTTCCACAGGATACAAAGCACTTACCACCCACTATGGTTGTCTAGCTCAGGGGAAAAGTATCTCGGACGAGCCCCCACTTATGTGAGTGGCGCAACACGACAACCACAATGAGGAGACACAGTCTTTGTATATGTAAAAAAACTTTATTTTAACAAAAATACCAACAAGCTGTTGAGGGGGGGGGGGGGGGGGGGGAGTCCAAATTAACCCTCTGATGCATGAATTATGAAATCTTCAACCATGATTTTTTAACAATTTTTTTCATTCGTCTTCAGGTGTGAATGAAACAATTTTCAACAAATATTTTTTGTAAAATTTTATAATTTACAAATAATTTATTACATGTCCACCTCAGTGGACAGCGTGCGTTCTGAGCATGAAATATGTTGGCTTGGCTTACTGAAGTGCAAATAGAGGGGCTCAAATGCAATAAAGTCTTCAACAGCTGTGCTTAATAGCAAAAATAAATAAATAACAATTTTGAGTACCTGTCCACTGCAGTGACCGTTATGCATCAAAGGGTTAAAGAAATAAGCAAAACAAAACCAAGCCAAGCGGTCTAATAATTCTTAACAAAATAACTAACCAGAACACTATTCTTTTTACTCCAACAAAAATGTTTAGGTAAAACATTACATGGGTGGCACCAGCCTGTCTTCCTAGTGTATTTAACATAAACCTCTGCATGATGGAATAAACAGGGTATCCCAGACTCCCACCACAAACCTTCAAACAATAAAATGGCTCTCAGAGCAGCAACACAAGTGTTCCAGTCAGCAGGTACCAGTAAGTAGGAGACGTAGGGGGGAGGCGGTGCTGCCTTCCTGCTTTTAGAAAGAAATATCTGCTCCTGATTGCTCTAATGGAAAGGAGGCTGGCCATGTCATTATCCAACCCGAGTCAAGCGTTCCCCTAATCTGTGCTCTGCACCTGAGATGAGAGAATTAAAAAAACAGAGAAACACACGTGTCCAGCAGACATGTGACATTGAACTGGGCGGACCCCTGGATTCCCCACACGGGCTGACATTCATAGGGCCACTGTGGGTAGTTTTTGGACAGATCCCGCTATGGGGTGCCCACAGAAATAATCAAAGTTATGCCGAAAGTCCATTTGGTTGGTCCAGGGCACCCGTAAGGGCTCAGCATGGGCAGAGTTGGGCAGGTTCATCTGTGGGTTGCCCTTAACTAAATCTATCCTACACTGACAAAGTTCTCAGCACTTCTTCATTCAAAACTCTACTTAACCCCCCGCCTCCACCACCTACCAACAATCTATCGGCAGACACCTTTGCCTCATTTTTCACTGACAACGTGGCTCCTGAACCGTTGCTACTAAAAACTATTTCTAGCCCGACCATCAGAAGCCCTACTGCATCGTTTTTCTTCATTTACCCGTCTCAGAGAGAACCGTGTGTCCAAACGTCTCACGTGTAGTCGCCCGATTACATGCCCACCCGACCCCGCTCCGACTAAGCTCCAGTCTATTGCTGCTACAGTAGCCGCAGCAGTCACACGTGTGGTTAACGCTTCACTGACATCTGGTACATTTCCCACCTCTCTCAGCATGCTCAGGTTAAACCGCTGCTAAAAAAACATCTCTTCCTCCAAATCATGTGGAGAACTACCGACTAACTAACTGTATACTTAGCTTAAAGGGACAGAAGACAGGACAGAACAGGACCTTGTGAAAACATCTGCTGAATTACAAAATAGGTAAATAAGCTATAATCAAAAAGTAACAAATCATTAACCCCCCCCCCCCCCCCACACACACACACACACACACACACACACACAAACACGCACACTTTGCCATCAGGAGGAACTTATTCTCTCAACTGCTGCAGGTTAGTTAAATCGTGACGTCGACGTGTCGTTGCAGCTTACTCTCATGAGCTCAATCTGTGCATCTCCATTTTCATCGCTCTTCGTATGCCTGGAAGAAGAGTGAAACGGTTCATTATATTTTATCTTGCAATAAAACGGACACAGGGAAACTCGTCTCTTACACGGATTCATCCAGGAATGTTTCACAGAGGTGTTGGTGTTCGACAGATCAACAACAAGAGTTATTACGTTTTTCTCGATCTTACGATTTTGAGGGATGACATGGTGTAACATTGGATAAAAGCACCTATGTACCTATGCTCTAACTCAGCATGTGTTTGTGTACCTTCCCTCTTCAACATCAACGATGTTTTCTGGCAGATGGACATTGAGAGTCTCTGGAAGCAGAAGGACCAAGCTGCCGCTGATAATCCCAATCCCAGCAAAGATCACAGGGGGCAGTAGAAGCCAAACATCCTCCAGCATCATAACAATTGGAGCCAGGGCACTTCCGATTCGACAGAGACACGAAGTGTAGCCAAGACCACTTTGTCTGTCCAACAACACAAATCAGGAGCTTTAGTCACAACGCTGCATCCAAACTCTTCTTGGACATTAATCGAGCTACAGTCCAGAACAAACAGCAGGACTGCTAACGGGCAATGTGTGTAATCAGCTTGGTCACAAGCACACAAGTGCAGTTTTTAAGCCTATTGAAGGTGCACATTGTTTGTTAGAGAGAGAGAGAGAGAGAGAGAGAGAGAGAGAGAGAGAGAGAGAGAGAGAGAGAGAGAGAGAGAGAGAGAGAGAGAGAGAGAGAGAGAGAGAGAGAGATAGATGATAGATAGATAGATAGATAGATAGATAGATAGATAGATAGATAGATAGATAGATAGATAGATAGATAGATAGATAGATAGATAGATAGATAGATAGATAGATAGATAGATAGATAGATAGATAGATAGATAGATAGATAGATAGATAGATAGATAGATAGATAGATAGATAGGCCAAAGGAGTCCGGTGCAGTGTGTGATGGGTGGTAGTCGAGGGCGGGGACCTTGGCGGTCTGATCCTCGGCTACAGAAGCTGGCTCTTGGCACATGGAATGCCACCTCTCTGGTGGGGGAGGAGCCTGAGTTGGTGTGCGAGGTTGAGAGGTGCCGACTAGATATAGTCGGACTCACCTCTAAGCATGGCTCTGGCTCTGGAACCGGTTTCCTTGAGAGGGGTTGGACTTTCTACCACTCTGGAGTTGCTCCCACTGAGAGGCGCTGAGCAGGGGTGGGCATACTAGGTGCCCCCCATCTTGGTGCCTGTACGTTGGGGTTTACCCCGGTGAATTAGAGGGTAGCCTCCCTCTGCCTACGTGTGGGGGGACGGGTTCTGACTGTGGTCTGTGCTTTTGCACCAAACTACAGTTCAGACTACCCACCCTTTTTGGAGACCTTGGAGGGGGTGATGGAGAGCGCTCCTTCTGGTGACTCCCTCGTTCTGCTGGGGGACTTTAACGCTCACGTGGGCAACGACAGTGAGACCTGGAGAGGTGTGGTTGGGAGGAATGACCCCCTGATCTGAATTCGAGTGTTTTGTTATTGGACTTCTGTGCCAGTCATGGATTGTCCATAATGAACACCATGTTCAGACATAAAGGTGTCCATATGTGCTCTTGGCAGCAGGATACCTTAGGCCGCAGCTCGATGATCGACTTTGTTGTTGTTTCATCTGACCTGCGGCCAATTAATATGCATATTAGTAAACTACTAAGTCTGAACTAGCCATTATTAAGCACTTATTAACAGTGTATTACTAATTTCGTAATTACAACATCAACAGGCCATAAAGTAAGAGTTTTATCAAAATAAGCCATTCATAATGGTTTGTTAACTGAAAGTAAATGGTTTGTTGCTGACTAACACACATGCTAATTAGCTCAAATCAATATGTGGCTTTTAACGAACCTGCAACCTTCCGATTACGAGGTGGACGATTAATTTCTCTGCCACCTATGCCAATTTTTTTAAAGGTGTGATATACTGAAAAATCATTTTTAAAAACTTAATTCTGATTAAAATCGATCACTCTGAGTGTTTCTTGCAGGCTGAACATGAAAATAGTCTCCTACACCTATCTCCTGCAGTAGCTTCTGATAGAAAACAGACGGTGAAACTCTACGATTAGAAAAGCCTGACAGATCTATGTCACCCTGTCACTAACATTCATGGACTCACCCATCTTGACTCGCAACGGGGAAGACTGTTGTTGGTTTAGCGTCCAGGAAACAGCAGAGAACGCCTCAGCTAGTAGAAGCTAACTGTTAGCATCAGTAGCTCTACAATAGGGTTGTTTTTGATTAGTGTTTATGAAGAAAATGAATTTTAGTTTTAGTCGACAACAGTTTTAGTTTTTCATTTTACAAAACATTAAACAAAGTCCACCCACTTAAATGCGGTCATGTTTCTCTGGCTGCAGCGTTGAGTTTTCACACAATTATTATAAATAGTCTGCAGGAGCAGGACATGGGGGTTATGAGGGTTGGAGGAGGAAGATGAAAGAAAGAAAGTAAATCAGAGTTTAATTTTGACATAAACACGGCAAACACGCCTTCTTGACAGTCCCTTTGTGTGAAAAATAAGTGTATAAATAAAAAACAACCGACGTGTGTTAGTAGGGAAATAACTAGCGAGCCACGCCGTGACTGGTTCTGGTACTTTTTGGGTCGCAGCGCCGCTCCTACAGTGCGATGCACTCACGAGGGACGATCAAAACGTCAAACACGCCAGAAATCTGCACCAGCTCACGATTGCTGATTGGTCGCTGGTGACGTGGCGTTAATCGCCCCTCGTAACCCCTGTATACGACGCTCAGCGCAAAACTCACCGCGATCTTGTAGATTCTCCCACGAGGGCAAAATCGGCTCAAGAACGTGAAAAAGTCGCACAGCATGTGCCCGGCTTTACC